CTAATATACCATTTATTTGGGTTTTTTTTTCTGTGCTCATTTTTTGGTATGGACTTGTTGACCTTGTACTCAGTGTTATAAGTATAGTTGGTCCCAGCAAAAAGTTTGAGTTTAAATGTTGTACATAATTCTGTACCAAGATATTGATCCCAGATAAAGTCTTAGTATTTGTTTGTTTCCTTTACTTCCTGCACTCATAGGAATTGGAAGTAGATTCTTGAACACTTTCTGCTTAAGGTGGGTCTTCAGTCATCTGTGTTAGGACCATTCTAGAGACCAAACAGCCCATAGAAGTCTTCAGAGATTCAGTTACATAAAAGGGGATGGTGGCCTTAGTTTAGACTACTTCCTTGAGGCTGAAAGGGGCAGAGAGGCTCTTTGTTTCATGTAACATCCCTTAGCACTTCTGGAAGATGTGAAAGCCTGGGTTTGTGCTCCTAGTTAATGCTAAAGGAGGCTTTGAAATAGTTTTGATGTGGCAGAAACTCCGAGCGAGTAATGTGGGATTCTTCCAGGGAACTCTGAGTGAGTAATGCATTTATACAGCTGCTTCACCTCTCAGTGTAGTCTGGTTCAGTGCCAGAGGAATGCTTGGTATTTGCTGCTGAGGAATAGTGGAGAGTTACTGTCCTAGCATTCAGTTTCCTCTTCAGTGTGCCCTAGAAACCATCTCTGACCTTGCTTTCCAAATGTGATGGGTGTTGAAAATTGCTTTGGCGTAGATCAGGGGTGACCAGACTGGCTCTGAAGCTGCATGTGACTCTCCAGAAGTTAATATGTGGTTCCTTGCATAGGTGCTGACTCGAGCTGAAGCTACTGGCACCAATTTTCCAAATGTTCACTGTTCAACCCCTGGCTCTGCCTCCACTCCACCCCTTTTCCCATGGCCTTCGCGCCTTCCCTGAACCTGCTGCACCCTCGCTTCTCCACACTCTCCTCCAGAAGGTTTTCTCTATTCAAAAGCTTCAGAGGGGTAGCCGAGTTAGTCTGTAACAGGAAAAACTTAAACAACAACAAATAGACTAGTAGCACCTTAAAGACTAACAAAACATGTAGATGGTATCATGAGCTTTCGTGGGCACAGCCCACTTCTTCAGGGTTGTGCCCATGAAAGCTCATGATACCATCTACATGTTTTGTTGATCTTTAAGATACTACTAGTGTATTTGTTGTTTTTAAAGTTTTTTCTGTTTCAGTTATTTATAGTTATCACCCTGCATTTTTAGTCTATTTTCAAGTATCACAAGAGTACAAAGGTTTAAGTTGGTAACTTCTTCCCACTTGAAGCAATAGAGAGGTCCCTCAGTAGTGCAAAGGAAGGTTATTTGCTTTATTTCATTGTGTATACAAGAAAAAAAAGGAAAACCTGCATCCCATATAGCCGCTCAGAAAATTTAACAAGTGCATAAAATGTTCAAATGTACATGGCAATTTGTTCATTAACAAGACCTTAACTTGAAGATCCTTTTCCCCCATTATTTCATAGGATATTAGACAAATGCAAACTGAAAAACTGTCCCAGTGTTTTGTAACTCTTTATATGCTAGTTCATATGCAGATTGAATTTGTTTTATATGTATTGTTGCTTCCTGTTCAAGATCTGGGATATAAACATTCATAATAGGGCCCAGTTATGTGTAAACTGTTACCATCAAAATTGAAGCACATATTGAAATAGCACATATTTAGTGTGATTTTTAAATAGCACACTCAAGATAATTTTAGCTTGTATAACAAAAGCTGATGTTTTTACTGTTACCAAAAAAATCCTTAAATTTAGAATATCAAGTTTATTCGCAGCAGTATACTTTATGTAATTGGAAGAACAATTGTTGAATATTTACTGTTAGAAACCTGTGCAGAACTTTCAGTTGGATTCTTTTCTTCTCTTGGTTTTACTGGGTAATTTTCCTATCCTCTTAAGTCTTATTTTTTTTTCTTCTTTGCAAAGAAAGCAGTTGTGCAACCTTGTCTTTACACTTTCTTAATCTTGCCTATATTTGATATATACTGAAAGATTGTTTAAGCTAAGGGTCTGAGACTTTGAACTAAAGCCATTTACAATAATTTATAATATCCTGGTTTTCCACCTGAAGGAAGAATGGACAGCAGAGATCTAAAGAACTTTATTACCTGCCAGTTTTGTCAGCAGTTGAAAGCTGGTGCCTAGGGAAATAACAAAGATAGGAGTAAAAGGAATGAAGTAGCTGGATCACAACTCAATCTAGCATTTTTCCCCTGCTTCCTTTTTCCTTGTTTTATCTGTTTCTGTAAAAATTCTCAGTCAACCCCAGCATTGAGAGCACACTATTGTCAGCTCCACGGAGAGGGAAGGGCTAACAATACACACTACAGGCTGGCACAACAGATTAAGCCAAGATATATAATAATCCAAGGTTGTTTCTGTGAAGTTTAGAATATCTGAATCTGTTTGAGGTGACGGAAATAGCTACCCACATGGTTGAGATTTCCTTTTGTTTAGAATATCACCAGATTGAATAATCACTGTCTGTCTATTCCGTTTTCAAGTTCTCAGCCATTGTACCTTTACGAATTACCCCTGTGTGATGCAGGCTTTCAGTGACTAGTTATGTTATAGAGCTCAACGCAAGCACTGATGTAAGGTGGTGGTTACCTTGAAATTTAGAGGGAAATGATAAAACTTGTTTATTGTCGTCTTAGTGGTTGTAACAATGGCACTACATTGGAAATGGAAAAATGTTTCAGATTCTTAAAAACAGGAGAGGATGGCTCAGAAGTACATCTGGACCTGGGAAGGTATTTATGTGATATGGGGTATTTTTGTTTTTCAGTGTGATGATTGTTGATGTGACATTTTTATGTTTTTCTATGGCATGAGGAGAGCCTTGATGGTGTAACCGAAAAGTATAAATCTCGTAAATAAAATATTTTAAAACAATCACATACAAGCACCACAAACTTAGTTTAACTTTGTTCTTTTCTGTTTTTATTCTATGACATACTTAAAGGCTAGCATTGACTTGGTTTAGCTGAAAGAACCACCACCTTAAGGAGAGTGGTGGTAATAACGTGTCTTTGCCATCCATTCCTTAATGTTGCTGCTGAACTGAGTTCCCTCTGAACTGTGTGGCAGCACAGCTTTGTAGGTGATTAATCAGCCCTGCCCGATCAGAGGCTCAGGGCTCCATGAAGGGAGCTGACTGACCACACATGAAGCTCTGCTGCCGCACAATTTAGAGGGAACACTGCTGCTGAATCTATCAGATGGTGCCAAGTATGACTGAAGAAAATTGAGTCCACAGGGATCATTAATTTCATCATAGGCCAACATGGGAAATAATTTTTTATTACTACAGGTTGGACCTCCCTGGTCTGGCACCCTCAGGACCGGAGCCATCCTGGACCAGGGAGTTTGCTGGACCAGGGGAGGTCAATGTTCCACTGCTGGCTGCCCTCCTGCTGGCTCCTCTCCCTGGGCTCTCAAGGCTGGAGTTCCCTGCTCTGCTGCTGCCCCACTAACTCTGTTCCAGCAGAGGCTCCCTGCCCACTGCCGCTGGGGTTTCCCCAGCCAGGGCTGCCTGGGTGCTGTCAGCCCTGTTCAGTCACTGCTGGCCTTGGTACCTCCGGGGCTTCCTTGGGGTTTCCTTGCTCTAAGGCCACCCGGCCATCACCTGCCCTGCTTCTGTAGCCTGGCTCTGCTGCCACCGGGGGGTTCCCAGCCAGGGCTGCCTAGTCACCTCAGAACCCACTGCCTCCGGCGGGTTCCTGGAATTTCCTGGCTGGGGTGCCAGGTGGGCCTGCTGCCACCAGGGACTCTGCTGCCGCATGGCCCCGCCGCTGGGGTTCCTTGGCCAGGGCTCCCGCTGCGCTGGGAAGTTCTCAGGGTTCCTGGCCAGGGTCGCCTGACCCCATTGATGTCAGGAGTTTTCTGGCTAGGGTGGAGGCTCCCAGATGCTGTCAAGCCTAGATGACACTGGTGTTTCCCTGTCTAGCCACTCCTGGCTCAGCCAGGTCTCTGTAAATCCAATACTCCCAGGGCTCTTTGGTCCAGCAACATCTTGCTGGACCACGGATGCTGTCAGACCAGAGAGTCCAGTATTTGGGAGGTTCAGCCTGTACTAAATTTGGACTGGTTTCAAATCTGTAACTTAGAGATGAAAGCCTTTGTATTCAGTTCCAAATTTGTTGAGCTGTCCAGTACACAAACTCTTCTTATTTGCTCAATTTATTTCTCTGTTGATTTATATCCTGATGACTTGTTTTTCAGCTACTGATCTTCTTCATGGGATTAACTGAATAAAGAACAAATTCTGAATAAATTTACATATTTTCATTGAGTTAATTACGCAACTCTAGAATATTCTTGCATTTGTGTGCTGACACATTATTACACATACTGACAGAACATAGTCCTTTAATAATATTTTAAGGAAAGTTGTCTGGTCTCATTTTCAGGATTTAACCGATACTTTTTTCTCCACGGTTTTGACTTCTTGAATTAGAGAAGAAAAGTGTGCAGCTTGCAAGCCTCCAGAAGTTTGCATGCTTACCTGAATCTCTTTAGAGTGCAAAACAAAGGTGGACATTTTGCAAAAGCAAGATCTCACATGATTCTAGCACTTAAAGCAACAAGTTGAAATACTGAGTAGTCTTATGATATTTTGGGCTGTTCTGCAACTGGAAATGAAAATAACAATTGTGGGTACTTCAAAACTTCACAAGAATGTTTGGCTAGCGTTGAAAACTTGAGGTGAAATAGAGGAGAGAAGCTGTTTTTACATAGCCAAATTAGTTTCCTTATAGCAAATTTGAATCCATTTTGAAAATACTAAAATGTTCTAGATTCCAGTCTTTCAGAAATTTTCCACACATTTCCTTTTTACAGAATTTATTCCATCGTGTATAATGTGTTACAGTAGTTAATAGAAAACAGGATAAAGGCCTTCCAGTTTCATTCTAAGGATCGTATAGCATTCAGTTTGATATACCTGCTCTCTCAGATGTATTTGTCCATTTAGGTTCAGACAAAGAAAGAAGAATCTTTGCCACCATCACTGAGCCAAACCATTCCATCGTTTTATTTTCCTCGAGGATGTCCAAAAGAAAAACTGAATATAGATGCAGTGATTGCTAAAATAGAGAGAACTTTCTCTCAGTTTCCAAATGAGAGAGCAAGTTTAGAAGACATGGGAAAAGTTGCAAAGGTGAGAATTTTCTGGGTGTGTAATTCCAGTATACTAATCTACAAATAGGAAACAAATGATGTGTTTCATATGTTGTTTGTTGTGTGATATGTATAAAATTCTAAAAAGTTAAGTCAAAATTAATCTGGGATCATAACCCATTAAAGTCAACGGGAGTATTGACATTAACTTCTGTGGGTTTTGGAGAGAGCCCATAAATGTCAACACCAGAAACTCAAGCAGCCTCTTGGAGTTGTATCTTATGCAGTCCTATAAATGTCAGTATGCAGTGTGTCCACGTGTCTTAACAGTAACCTTACTACTGCAGATGTTTTAAATGCATTCCTGTTGGTTTATGAACATGATGCATGATTAAAATGTTGAGTTATCAGTGTCAATATGGTATGCTACAGTTAAACCAGTTACTCAGGTAAAAATGAAACCAGAAACTTTTGCACCTTAAACAGGAAAAGAAAGTCATGGATGTGTATATTAAACCTTAAAATCCGGCTTTCTTTTTTTGGAGGACTTTTTCTTAGACCTTTTATAGTCACTAGATTTATTGCAGTGTCAGTATATGGGGTTTATCAATCCAAAAAGACTGACTTGTTTTGCTTCTGTATAACATGCGTAACAAATTAGCTTAGAGAAAATGAATAACATTTTTCCGTATATAATATTGAAGCAGGAAAATAAATCTATGTATTTTAGAAATGTGCATTTGACTGTCTGTTAAAGAACTCCACTTAAAGGGTTAAAAGCTAGAACCACCAAATTGGTATGCAGCTTCCTCTTTTCCTAACTAAGGGTGGAGGGAAAAGGGCCTCCACAGGCTGGATCTATCTCTCCAAGCGTAGGCCCTGCCGCTCACCCCGCGGGGGGAGTGTATCAAGTCTCCTCTGGCTCTGCAAGGGGCTCAGCTGCTCAGCTGGCAGTTGACTCTAAGCATGGAGCTCCCTCACAGGGCAGGGGCGCGGAGCAAGAGATGTCACATGCTCCCTCTCCCCAGGCTCAGATTAACCTAGGGGCAATAAGGGGGAGCATGCAAAGTCTCCTCCCAGGGGCAGGAGGTACCTAGAGGGAACTGCCAACTATTTAGAACATCTGGTGGTTCTCTCTGGGGGAGGAGGGGAAACTTTGCTGCTCCCCCATCTCCAGACCAATCAGGGTCTGTGGGTGGCGAAGCATGGTAGTGTCCAGGGCCCGTCCCTTCCAGGGTGGCCCAGATTACTTCAAAAATTTCTGAAGTGGGCCCCGGTCAAAAATTATCCACTCCTGTCCTAACTCAAAGCAAGGTCAGGGTTCAGTTGTGCCAGGAAAACTGGAAGTGCTGGGAATGAGACTGTTTTCCATAAAATGGAAAGGGAGGGGTTGTTCTGAGGGACAATGTACTCTTAGTGGCCACTGGGGGCAGCGAGCTCGCAGGGGAGAGCTACATTGCAGAGTGACTATTGGGGGACAGCTATACCAGCAAGATAGTAGCCAGCAGGGCTGGGGCTCACCATCTTGCTTGCCACCGGACTGGGAAAGTGGAGCTGCCCTTTGGCCCACTTTTGTCCCGCTGACCCTGGAAGGGGGGATGAAGGGAGGCCCAATCAACCCCCTACCCCAGGAACAAGCCAACAGGTGAGGTGCACAGTTCCTGCTGCTCTGGTCCACCCCTTCTCCCAACCCCCTGTTCAGTACAGAAGAGACTAAAGCTGTTGATCAAATTAAAGGTTATCAGTCAATAAAACAAACTTTCCAGGAATCATATGTTCATGTAAGTTCCTTAGGAATGTGCACAATGAAACACATGTCGGTCCTGCTCCCCCATAATACTGCTTTACGACTTAAGTTTTCATTTTATGCTAATATTTGAGTGAGGGAGTAACACTCAGATAAGTAATCAATAAACTGACTACATTGTTCTACATTGTTAATTACAGGCCTGTGAATGCCCACTTTACTGGAAAGGTCCCTTGTTTTATTGTGCTGGAGGAGAACGAACAGGATATGTCTCCGTTCATAAATTTGTTGCAATGTGGCGAAAGTAAGTTGCTTTTTGAGATGTACTTTATTTCTTAATTTAAATGTAATATTTTAAACTATGAATGTGATCCAGCCAGCAGACAAATCCCCTTATGTATAGTCTAACACTCAAGAGTAATTTTTTATCAAGTCCAATATGTGCTGTATATATATATGTAATGTAGTGGTTAATGACAAGTTCCTAGTGCTCCCTCCTCCCCCCACTGTAAGCTCTTGGCATATTCCTGCAAATTAAAACAATGCTGCTCAAGAGTTGTGGGCAGACATGTCTCCTTTCTAGCTTTTTCTATCCTCAGTGATCATAGGGAGAGAACTATGGTCTTTATTTCAAACTGTCCTCTCATTTGACTACTCCTTGCTGGGAGTAGGTAAAATATAGAGAATTTAATGTAATTGATGACTAAAGTCTAGTATGAGAGGAAGGTTTAATGCAATGGCTAGATCTGTGAAAATAGCTAGTAGGAAGAAGAAACAGACTACCTGCATGTCATATATTCTGGTAATTAATTCTTTAGGTTCTCACATGTTAAATCAATGGGTTAGGAGTAAATGCTGAGTGTGCAGCTTTTTCATAAGTCCTGCTATAGAACTTCCTAATACAAGTATGAACATTTTTCCTATTTAAATGGAGTAGAAAAGTATTATGATACGAATTCATTTTATATTTGCATTTCAGAATACTGCAGACCTGCCATGATGATGCTGCAAAGTTTGTTCATCTTCTGATGAATCCTGGATGCAACTACTTGGTGCAAGAAGATTTCATTCCATTTTTACAAGTAAATTGCAACTGAAATTTATCATTACCTCTTTGTGTCTTCAAAGCTAAAAAAAAGACTAGATGTACCAGCACAACTCTAATTTCCTGATCATTATTCTAGTCATTCTTTTTACTAAAAAGATTACTGATATTTATTGCAAGCAACTTATATTGTCAACTGGCTTACTAATGAGTTTAGCTTGTTACAAGTCATTTTACAGTCACAAATATTTATAGCCTGCTTTTATGTAGGGAAGAAGTTGGGGAAAAAATCCCGACACATCCAACAGTAACTCTTAATTGTTTGATTTCAACTAATAGATGAGCACCTATTTAACCTTTAGAAGGACAACTCATGATTGACATAGTAGTGTTAAGAATGTGGTTCTCAGGTTTTTGGGAAGTTATTGGGGATGGGAAAGAAGAAAAATGACAATTAAATCTCTTTTTGGACTGTCACAGGTCTTATTGCTTTGACCAAAAGCAAACTTGCTTGTTGGACTACCACTGTCTGTAGCGCACTTCCACGTGGTTTTATAGTTTATTTCTTTATTTGGCACTTCATTTCTTCCTATCTCTTTATAGGATGTGGTGAATAGTCATCCTGGCCTATCATTTTTAAAAGAAGCATCTGAATTTCATTCTCGTTACATTACCACAGTAAGTGCTTTACTTAGAAAAATTACTTTGTTTATACAATTTAACTATTTATTCATAGGTCAGAGGAAATATGTAAAACAAACCTATTCACAATGGTCTTATCTCCAGAAATAAGTATTCTGTTGACCACAGCTTCCCACACTTCCCATGCACTATAGTGAGTATAATTCAAATCTTTGGGAGACAGTCGTGGGAGGAAGAGCATCTGTCACTGCAACTCATGGTTGCAAGGTTTTCCTATTCTTTAGTATGTTCAGAGAGCTTACTGAATAACAGTCAAAATAGGAATAAGGAATAGAGAAAGTTTGTTTGGAACATGTTAATGAATTTCTATTGAAAAGCAAATTGCTTATTTTACTTGGACGCTTGTTTTGGGTGTGGTTTTCAACCTGTGGCTGGTGAGGAGCCTGACCCTGCTTTGCACTTCGTGATGAAAAAAGCCTGAAAATTTGAAATAATTTCTGCATTATTTCAAGTTCACCTGTATCAAGCCGATAATGTGTAAGCTCCACAATATTATGGAATTGAAAAGAATTTGTGATCAGAATTGACACCTTCTTAAGCTACTTGCACCTTCTCAGTTCAAGGATTGTCCTTTAATTGAGTTTTGTATACATGAAACTTTCCAGTTGTAGGTTCCCATGACTAATATCATCTTTCTGTCCATATTAGTAGTGAGTAACTGTTCTGTTGGTTTCCTTCAACTACTGATCTGGACTTGACAGCCTCTAGAGATTAGGTTGCTTCAGACTCTGTGCTCATTCACTCCTTCAATCTTCAGAGTCTGAGATCCCTCCAAAGAGCATTCAGTTGCTAAAAAGTGTCAGTGACTGGGTTTAAAAAGTATCCTCCACAAACTGATTTAAGGCCATTGATGGATGTAGCACTTCTGCATGTAGCACAGATTTTATGTGGAAGTCTTCCTTTTGAGACATTAACTTTGGTTCTGCACCTTTCATACTCTATTCCAGAGTTGAAGGCTTCAGGTTTATCCTCCCCACACCAGTAAGCATTGCCAATGGACCAATAGTAATATACTCAAACCCAAGAGTTGAAAAATCATGATCAACCCTAAAAATCATGATTGGCCAAAAAATCAAGAAATTCTTTATGAAGATTCAATTGTGGGGTGTAGTCCATTCTGACTTTTTAACCTCCTTCTGCATACTTGCTATATGTTTTAAAAGTACTATTGTGTTAACTCTTGCACATTTATCAAAAGTAAGAAGACTTTTTGTCATCTTTTGCAGTTACACGTATCTCTTTCCAGTTTTGGAGTAGGTGCTTGTAGATCCACTTGCTATCTCTTGCCTTCCCAGTCCAAGACTGCTACCTGTTCCCTTAACTGCCAAAGTTTGCATGGATCCATGTGTGACACATGGGAGCTGACAGCTTCTGGGGCCCTGGGCAAGGTGCGGAGGCTGGCTCCACACCCTCAGAGAGGGTGGGGCCAGAGGGCAGCCAGCTCTTGGTGCTTCCCAAACTGTACCTCTGCCCGCCCCTCCCTTGCCCTCAGAGCCACACAGAGTGGCACTGTGGCGTGATTTAAAGGGTCCAGGGTTCCAGCTACTGCTGCAATAGCAGCAGTGGTGGCCAGGAGCCCACGCCAATTGCCCTCTTTTCCTTCCTCCTGATCCGTGGGCATGGTGTGACATTTCTCAGCAGTGTGAAAGTTTCTAATCTCCCAAATGTAGTCCCTTGCCACTGCTTGGGGATGTGGAGAGAAGACATCATGTGAGTGATATTAGAGAGCTTCTCCCCAACAAGGAAGGGTTACATCTGGAGCATCACAAAACTTTACTACTTTCAAAAGTAGGCTGTTACTACCATCCTCTTCCTCCCCCCACACCCCAAAAGTAGTAGTCAGTTGGTGCCCGCCTAGCTTGTGTGCTGCTGTTTCTGTTGTCTCCTGCAAAAAGCTATCAGTCAGGATTGGAGGATGTAGAGGAAGATGCTGAAATCTTAAGAAGGTACTCCCACCCTCTCTGCTTCGCAGAAATGCAGAATGGAGGTGCTGTGGGGGACTGAGTAATAAGGGCCAGTACTGGTCCAAGATGCTGAGAGAAGAGTGTAGCCATTGGAGATCTGGTCTATTGAAATGCCTCCATAAAACAATGTGTTTGTCCCTCCTCACTCTCTCCCCCGAGCAGCAAGGGATGGGGGTGGTAATGGGCCTTAGATTAATCTTCATGGTAGTGGAGTGAAGTGGGAAGGGTCAGAAGGGCTCAAAATTACCCTCCACAAGATGGGGGGAGGGTAATTTTGAGCCCACCCCCAGTTGACACTTAATGTATAGGGGACAGAGGGCTTAAGGCAGGTCTCTGGCAAAAGCCTATTCTTAGTGCTGTGGTGGGTGGGTGTTCCCTTTGCCCATAATGGGCTTTCTTCAATTGGATAGCCTGCTGGGAATACAGCTTTCTACTTCTGAGCCAGCTTTCGCAGTTCACCAAGAGGAGAGGACTGCCATCTTCCATAGTAGCCTGCCAAAAAAATGGGGATGCAGGCCAGTCAGTCACTTCCAGAAATCTGAGATGGATCAAAACAATCAGGTCCTCACAAGACAACTGCCTGGGTGTGGGAGGGGCGGGAAGAGCTTGAAGAATGAAGCAGTGGGGAGTTGGTGCAAGCACCTGCTTCCAAGTCACATGATGCCAGAAGCTCTTCATGTCATCACAAGAGCTCCTCAAACAGGTGTCAGATTTGTGGGACTTGCAATAAATTCACGAGGAGATGACACTGCACCTGCTGTGCTGGATTTTTCATGCTAAGAGTTAATGGCGTTAGTTTTTGCACCTCACCAGTGAGACCATAGCAGTTTATCAGTTAATTATTTCTCCAAAAGAGATGGCTGAAGCAGAGAGAGCGAGAGAAGGAAAAACATCATCGGGGAATATCTTTCTTGGCAATTTGTATTGAGGCCTGGCTTGTCTGATTTGTGGAAAAACTGCTGTTCCTTCTGAGAACTGTAGCAGCTCCATTCTCTCATCCCCCAATCCTTTCTTTAGCTGAGGAACGTATTTACTTAGGGTGGCCTGGGTTGAAATTGACAAACTGCCATGAGTGTCCTTTCTGAAAAGGGAAGCAAAACACCAATCCACAAATCAAACAGATGTTTAGAAAGCTGTCTATACTGTTGTTTCTTGTCAAAGATGTTTAACTGGTTAACTGACTAAGTGGGATCTCACTGCTCCCACTGCCTAGCCCACGGGGCTGCCAGTTCCCAGCCCTGGCCCCAGGGCTACTCCAGCCCAGCCGGAGCAGCCTCTGCCTGCGATGTGTTAGGCGTGCCGTGGACAGGGGGCAGCTCCCAATGCCTGGAGCAGCTCCTGTTGACGGCAAGCCCCATCGGGTTGGAGCAGCCTCCACCAGTTAACTGGAACTGCTGAGCATCACCCGTTAACCTTTCACATCCCTAGTATTGGATCCAAAGGCTGGATTTGGAAGAGAAGGTGCTTGGCAGGCATGAGGCAGGAGGCTGTGGTGGATGTAGTGGAGAGCATTAATTCAGCATCAAATTGAGAGAGGCAATCACTGAGAAGTATAGGATGTGAGGGGTCAGATGAGAACTCAGAGGTAAGAATGGGCCCAATTTTATAAGACTATGTGGAGATCAGAATAAAAGTTCTGAGTGTAATAGAGTAAAAGGCAGAAACCCAGAGAGGAATATATATAAAATTAGTTGGTGGGAGCAATTAGAGGAAGGGGGAGGTCAGCAGTTGGGTTCTTAAATAAATAGGACAGAGGTGTGAAAGTTGATTGAGGATAAAGTTACAGCAGTTGAGGCAAGAGAAGCCAGAGCCCCAGCCCTGCTCAAGAGTCTTCTTAAAGTTGATTGAGGATAAAGTTACAGCAGTTGAGGCAAGAGAAGCCAGAGCCCCCGCCCTGCTCAAGATTCTGCTTAATCAGTTAACTGGTTAAACTTCAAGTTAACCTAATGATTAATTGATTAAATGGGATTTTACATCTCTAATCTATGTGGTATTTGAGGAGAGAGAGATTTGGAAATGATTTTGGAAAGTTAGTATCTAAAACAATGGGAGGATGAGCTCACTAAGGTTAGTGTTTGTGTGTGGGGGGGAGATGGAATGGACCTAGGCCTCGACAGATGGAGAGAGACAGAAGATAAAGACATAGAGGATGATGATGAGCAATAGTAATAAACATTGGAAAGTGAATAAAGCAGTAAACTGTAGAAACTTGCTTCATATTTCCTTTGTTTCTTGGCATTTGTACACAAGTATTTTTAAACACTTAACCAAGACTTGGAACATTACAATGTTTAGTTCAATTAGTTATAAGTAGACAGTAACTTGTCTCTTCATTTTACAGGTTATACAAAGGATATTTTATACAGTAAATAGGTCTTGGACTGGAAGAATCACATGTAATGAGCTCAGAAAAAGCAGCTTTTTGCAGGTATTTATGTAAAATTTTGCAAGTAGATATAACTTTTGCTCATTTTAATAAAGCTTTTAAGTTAAATACTTAAAAGGGCATAAGAACAAATACCATCTTTACTTGCTTCTTTCCAGATTAGTGAAGATTAAAGTGCACTGATTCTCCTGGGAGCAATTATTAATACAAGATTGTTTCAATTTAGATTGTGTTGTTCAGAGCTATATTTGTCTCTCACTTAACAGAAAGTTGGCTGTCCTCTCTATTCAACTTTCTCTGGCACCTTAACTTTTAACTCGGTTCATTAAAATCCTCTCTTAGCATGCTATCCTGTGCATACGGTCTTTGAAGATAAAATAATTCCACTAAAAAACTGTTTGTAATTAGTGATACTCATTGATGGTATAAGAACTTTCATTTATCCTTTCAGCTGTTTCTGTGACCAACAAGCATCTGCAGGTTCTTTAATGAGATTTTCTTTTGCCTGATAATAGAATGTGGCATTATTGGAAGAAGAAGTTGATATTAACCAGCTTACTGAGTACTTCTCTTATGAGCACTTCTATGTTATCTACTGCAAATTTTGGGAGCTGGATACAGACCATGACCTCTATATTGACCCAAAGGATTTAGCCCGGCATAATGATCATGGTATGACACATGGAACAACTTTGTTAACAGTCTAACTTTAAAAACATATGTAGAAATTAACTGAAAATCTTTGACACTTTATAGCTTGAGGTATGTCTTCAACTATGCAGTCATCTCCCACAGGGAGTGGCCATCTCCTCATTGCTGTCACTAATAGTAGAATAGACCAAGCATTAATACATGTTGCAAGAAAAAATACTGAAATGGAAGAGGTATTCATGTGATAGTCTAACTGGTCTTTTCCCTCTAGTTTCTGTTATCTCAGCCTTCAGATGTGTCATGCCTTTTTCCCCCTTGAAGCAAACAAAATATTTTTGCTAGCCTCTAAGGTGCCTCAGGACTACTCTTGTTTTTTTTGTTTTTAATTAAAGTTGTTAAAGTTAGATTAACACGGCTACCCCTCTCAGACTTTTAAGATGAGTGTCATGCAATTCTGGGATTAAATGGTGAATAGGTTGCTGTTATTCTTTAGAACAGTGATTCTCAATCTTTCCAGACTACTGTATAAATTTCAGGTGTCTGATTTGTCTTGTGTACCCCAACTGTATTTGAAAAACTACTTGCTTTCAAAATTGGACATAAAACTACAAAAAGTCACAACATATTACTACTGAAAAGCTGCTTTCTTATTTTATCATTATAATATAAATCAATCGGAATATAAATATTGTACTTACATTTCAGTATATAGAGCAGTGTAAACAAGTCCTTGTCTATATGAAATTTTAGTTTTTACTGACGTCACTAGTGCTTTTCATATAGCTATAGCAAATTTAGCTAGATGAATATATTCCCTGGAAGACCTTTGAGGGTACATACCCATGGTTGAGAACCACTGCCTTAAATCATCATAATGATGAGTTTTTTAAAAAAGATTTAGTCCAAACAGGAATTAATTCAAAAAAATCTTATGGCCAGTGTTATATAGAAGGCTAGACTTAGATGATCACAGAGGTCCTTCTAGCCTTATCTATGAAACCTTTGGAGATAGCAAAAACAAATGTATGCTAGAGGACAAAGTTTGACTAATTAGCCTTATATAGAATCATTGATGGAGGTGTTTTGGTTTTTTGTTTTGTTTTAACTTTCAAATGAAAGGTTTCCATGGTTATTCAGATGCAATTCTGGGTCTCCTTTCTAATATTAAACTTTTAAAATTTAGAAGTACTTTTATAAAACATATAGCTGTGAAAGCCTTGAGTCCTGTTAATTCCTTAGTAATAGCTTCTGTATTCTGGTAGAAAAATAACTCTTAGAAAGCACCATAATGCTATGCAAATTAAGAGACAAACGTTTAACCAAATATGCTTCATCTTTAGTAAAACCCCAGAATTGGCAAGAAAAAACCATGCATCTCAGAACTGCGAGTCAGAGGTAGTTAAGTACTGTCTTTGTATATTAAAATTCCTAATTCCATGTTGGCTCTCAGATGAATTATAGGTTTTTTTTAAAATGTAAAAACCTTGAAAGCAAGATATACTTGTTAAAATAATGCGTGTTAAATAAATACGGATCTAATAAAGGTGGATTATACTATGTGTGTATTGTCCTAGAATTCATGTTTCAGGTCAGAATTCAAGGCCATTTGGACCCATTTTGGAGGCTGTATGACAAAAATGGTCCTTTCAAAGGGGACTCAAAATGATTGAGAGTTAACCTTTTGTTTTATGTACCTTTATGTTTATGTAATTAGGTAGATTTCAGTAAATATATTTCATCTTCTAAATACAATATAAAGCAAAAATAACTTTTAAATGCCTTCTAATATTTTTCTCATTGACAGCTATATCAAACAGGATGATAGAAAGGATATTCTCAGGAGCAGTAACAAGGTAACTTTTGATATACTGATTTAAATACAGGTAATCCAGTTCTATAGTCAGACTTGTTTATGCAAACTTGAGTATGAAGTTTCTAGAACAATTGAGTTCTACTGAAAATTAGTAGTTCATTTCAAGGATTCATCAATGTCACTACAACGTCTTAAATCCATTGTTTCAACGGGAATTTTAGTATTCTACACAATGTACGATGTGTATATCTCTTTGATTTGGTAAATAAGGTAAATCAATGTTGACCATTACTTTGTAAGATATAATTTGGCTTGGGAGGAAAGCGAAAAGCAATCACATGCTTTCTCTGCCATTATATCTTTCCATTTGCCAGTTTAAAACTTTAAAGAGACTCCAGTTGGAAACTCAAATGTTCATTTGAAAACTTTACTTTACATCCCATATAAGTGCCTTAAGTCACTGGGATAGTGGTTACTCTGGAGCGGGCTTCTTATTTTGACCTATAATGAAGCCCTTCCAACAAATCTTACATGAAAACTAATAAGTTGGAATGAAAACCTCAGTTGTGATGAATTGGCATTTTTGACCCAAAAAACCGTTTTGTTGAACAATTCTCAGCTCTGTCGACCTCACATTAATGCAGTGCTTTTTGGCACTTAATGAGCATGCTGTTCCTGGGAGCTAGCACAGGGATTCTGACCAGTAATTGTAGCAGAATAGCTGAAACCAGAATAGTAGTGGGCAGTGCAAGAGAGGAAGGTATGTGAGATTCTTGATGTATCTCTTGACTTACCAAAGAGGTCTAAACATCAGCTTCATGGTAGAAAGATGCTTATTTTTAAAAATAGGAATTGTGTACAGGAGAAATTTCACAATGTGCTAAGCCAGGGGTGAGGAAACCTCAGGCCTGGAGGCCAGATGCGCCCCCTTGCTTGCCCAGATCTGGCCTCCAAGACTCAGGGTTCTCCCAACATTGGGGAGCCCACACAGGCACTCTCTTCCCCCCTACCACCACCACCCCACTGTGGGATTAGAGCACACAAAATCTACTAGCTTCGGGTCCTCGAGCCTTTGGTGTTTAAGGGGAATGTAGGGTGTGTCTTTCTCTTCATTCAGGAAGTTTGTTTTGCTTCTCAGTTTTGTGTGGCCCCTGAGTGATTTTTCTGTGGGTCCTCAGCCCTTGATCCAAAAAAGGTTCTCCACTCCCGTGCTAAGCCAAGACTGCTTATCTTTTTCTTTTAAGAATCAGTCAGCTTTGTAAAAATAGAAGTTCTCTTTTCGAAGGTATAGGAGACAAAGGAAATTGCTTGGAAACTAATGATCAGTGCAGTGTAAAAACAGAAATGGCATGGAAACAAAACCAAAAATAATTCAGAAGTATCATGTTTGTGTATAGATAAACATGTACTTGTCACTCTTCTGTTGTTGCTTTCCAAGTGCTCATGGAATAGTCTACAGAATGTGCAACTTTTGTATTTTAATTCAAATGTAATCATAAGATTAAAAGGGACCACAGCAGGTCTTCTAGTGCAACCCTCTGAACTCATGGATGGTCTAAATACTGTCTAGACTATTCCTGACAGGTGTTTGTGTAATCTGCTCTTAAAAATCTCTAGTAATGGAGATTCCACAACCTCCCTATGCAATTTATTCCAGTGCTTAACCCTCCTGGGAGGAAATTTTTCATAAAATCTAAGCTACACCTCCTTTCCTGTAACTGAAGCTTCTTGTCCTATCTTCAGAGGTTAACAAAAATAAAATTTCTTCCTCCCCTTTGTAATGACTTTTTATGTACTCGAAAACTGTTACCAAGCCCCCCTCTATTTTCCCTTCTCTTGACTAAACAAGCTCAATTTTTACAATCTTCTCGCATAGGTCATGTTTTCTAGGCCTTTAATCATTTTTGTTGCTCTTCTCTGGACTTTCTCCAGTTGTCCACATCTTTCCTGAAATGTGGGACCTAGAACTGGACATAATGCTCCAGTTTATGCCTAAACGACCAGCTGAGAATTCCTCTTGTCAGTGCTCTTTGCCACCCCTTCCCCTCTTCCATCATACAGGATTGGGCCAGCACATGGAGTGTAGCTGACCCTGAGTCTGCACTGCAGTCCTTAACTTAAACTATATTGTAACCTTTTGAGTAAATTTTAAAAGTAACAGAATGAACAGGAATCCCTTTATAATGATGAAGTTCAGTTCCAGTTTGCTTTGCAGTTTATCAGTGTCTTAAATTACTTGCATGTTCTTGTTTTCCATTTATGTTGATTCTTGCTTTGGTCTTTAAGGGGTAGAAAAGCACAGAAAGAAGGAAAAATTAGCTATGCTGATTTTGTCTGGTTTTTGATATCTGAAGAGGACAAAAAGACTCCAACTAGGTAAAAATTAAAACTCAAGCAGAACTAGAAACTGGCTTTATCAATATCGTCTCTAGCTCTATGCTGGCAAAACATACCTATCTAACATGAACACATGTAAATTCTTTTCGAATTTAATGGACAACTCTTAGTGGTTTTAATCTGCATGTTTCTTTTGACTTTCTTAGACCTTATTTCAGCTGTTGAGTCTGATTTGATTTAAAGGGGGTGGGTTGTGTTTGAAAAATATTTTCAAATATATTAGGCTTACACTAAGGACAGGTAGACTGTTTAAAATTGTTCTTTCTAACTCGATTTGGTAATTTTCAAAGCTCTTTTAAACGAATTCATCTTTAAACATGTTCATTCCTGTCTGGCATTATGGTTAGCTTATGATGCTGAATGTGTGATACAGATGTCACTGTACGGGCAAAAAAGGACAGGTAGACTGTTTAAAATTGTTTTTTCTAACTCTATTTGAATCTGAGCAGATAAGGAGGAAGTTGTTTACCCAACACCAGTCTGTTTAAAAAAAAAAAAAAAAGTAGGATGTAATAGGAAGCTAGCTAAGGAAATGTCTTTACATCAGAGTTCTCTCCTTTTAGTTTTGGTGTGTGTTCTTCCCCAAAGCACTACTTTAATACCTATGAATATGGTTAACCAAGTAGTGCTGTACATTTTATTCAAGCCTATACTGAGTAGGGTTAGACTTGCAAATAATTAGTCAAATTCTATATTGTTATATGGCATAAAAATGTTATATGGCTAGGCCCTACTCCATTCATGGTCTATTTCGGTCATTTTCACAGTCATAAGTTTTTAAAACTGAAATTTCATGGTGTAACTCTAAGGGTCGTAACCCAAAAAGTAGCTGTGGGGATGGTGGAGGCCATGTTATTGTAGGAGGGTTGCAGTATTGCCTCTCTTATTCTATGCTGCTGCTGACATGTTACTGTCTTCAGAGCTGGGTGCTTGGCAGCAGCCTCTACTGTCTGGCCACTCAGCTCTGGAAGGCAACACAGAAGTAAAGATGGCAATACTGCAACCCCTGTACAATAACTTTGCAACATCTCCCCATACAACCTCATTTTGGATTAGGTCCCCCAGTCTGAGAAACTCTGGTCTTCCCCCATAAAATCAGTTTAGTATGGGGTAAAAGCATACAAAAGACCTGATTTCATGGGGAGAAGGCTAGATTTCATAGTCCGCAATGTGTTTTTCACTGTCTACCAAATGACAGAATAAAACTGTGGTATGGATGAAAAATGAAGTAGTCCTTCAATGTGAACTCTTGTATGTATTTGACTCTTAATGACTTCACTTTTCATTGACTTCCCTGGGAATTGTGGAGGGTAGAATTTGGCCCTCCTACCTATTTAATTCATAGGTACTTTGTGCCATATACATTTTAAATATAAATTACACTGTATTGTTTGAGTCCACAACCGGGGAGAAAAGGGTTAGTGCAAAAGTCTGCTGTCCCATGCTAATTTGTTCTTGCCTTAACGCAGATCCCTACTCGGTATGCTTAAAGCTATGCAGTGGGATTCGTGAGCTTGTCCAATGCCTGTACAATTAAATAATTTTTTTAAAGACCTTTGTTTACTTCACAAAAGGCTTTCTCAAGTTAATAAAGTGTAATCACTTATTTCAGCATTGAATATTGGTTTCGCTGCATGGATCTTGATGGGGATGGTGCATTGTCTATGTATGAACTGGAGTATTTTTATGAGGAACAGTGTCAAAAACTGGATAACATGGCCATTGAACCTCTGCCTTTTGAAGACTGTCTCTGCCAGATGCTGGATCTTGTAAAGCCACAATGTGAAGGTAATGGGCTTCTTTCCATTCTAAAACTATCTTTCTGTTGTCTCCAATTAATTTGGTGTTTGCCTATGAGGTCATCACTGGGCTGTCTTATGAATCTGCCTTTGCTGGTTGTTCAAGCATAATACTAAGGGACCTACCAAATTCATAGCCATGTAAAAAGACTGTGAAATCTGGTCTTTTTTTGTATGCTTTTACCCTGTACTATACAGATTTCATGGGGACACCAGTGTTTCTCAAATGTGGGATTTTGACCCAAAAAGGGAGTTGTGGGGGCGGGTCAAGTTTATTTTGGATAGGCCATGGCATTGCCACCCTTACTTCTGTACTGCCCTCAGAGCTGGGCTTCTGGCTAGCAGTTGCCCAGCTGTGAAGGCAGTGCTGCTACCAGGAGCTACACAGATGTAAGAGTGGTAATTCCGCAACTCCCCCTACAATAACCCTGCAACTCCCCCACAGCTCCTTATTGTGTCAAGATCCTTACAATTACACCATGACATTTCAGATTTAAATAGCTGAGATTAAATAGATGAAACTTAGTTTTTAAAATCCTGACCGTTAATTTGATTAGGCCCTACTAATTCACCTACTTAAGCAGTGAACAACTTCTGATCAGCCAAAAGTATCAGTGTGCTTTTATAGTAAGAAACAGATTTAGGCCTAATTTTAGGCCAGATTTGGCTAATTCAGCCAAGAAAACTAGAGCAGAATATATTAATGTTGGTAAATAATTCTGTAGTTGTGGTCCTTCCCCTTGAATGTGTCTGTGCTTGTGACTTGAAGTGTCTGCTGAGCAAGTGAATTACTTTGCCTGTTAAAATCCAGGGGATCTTTTAGAAATTCGTTAGCCTTTTATTTCCAGTCTTACCTGAATCCATATACTCCTTTTCGTAGGTAGGTGGAGTATGCTCTAAAACTGAAATCCAGCATGACTGATGACAACTGAGAGCTGCCTGTCTCACTTTAACTGACAAAGCTCCATACTAGTATTCTCATTTCACTTGTGCTTCTACAAAGAAGCATAATGTGTAATAGAATGACTTGTCTTAGACAAGGGCAATCCTTTTCAACTGTGGGTTGAAATGTTGGTCTCCTAAATCCATTTTTAGGTGCCTAAAAATGGCCTGATCTTCAAAAGTTGAGCAGCTCACATTGACTGAAAAATCACTACGGTGCTTACTGGATTTTAATCTTCCTAAATTTGGGATATTAACATGATTCTTAACTGATGAAACCTACAGAAATTCAAAATTAATATAGAAAATATTATGCCTAATGGCAACATTTTAATATATTAAAGTGAGCATCATACTGCAGTGACTAATCCATTCTGTAGTTTTTGATATTCCAAGCAATATTGCTTGTCTTTCCTAAGATCTTTAAGGTACTGAGATGGACAACAATAATCTATATCCCTTATTCTTATTTCCATGTCTTCAAGCCATTTTCAAGAGAAGCTGTTCCACATGTTGCAAACTTTGGTTTCTAGCTGTGTAGAAGCCTTTAAAGTCCATCAACCCATGCTGTATTTGGCACTGGACATGAGTCAAACTGTCCAAAAGTAAGGGCTGGCTGACTAGATTTATCACTAACAAGACATCGGATGAGTAGCCCAGTTCTCTGGCTTATCTTTCATGGCATCTATTAATTTTCACTGTGGAATTCATTTTAATAACTTCTATTTTGATATTTTTGTGGTGTTACTTAGATGTCATATTTTTCCAAGACATTTAAAGTGATCTTGCTATGTGAATTTTATGCACTCAGTTCTTAGATATCCAGAAGTGTGACTGTTACATTTCCCCATAATTTTGGTTCACTGAACATTGTAATTATTTTGAAGTCACATTTTCACCACCCACCTTCCTTGCTCAAATTAAGGGCTCTTTAAAAGGTTGCAAAACTTCTCTAATGTAGTTGAAAAGAAATTGACTGAAGCACTTACCAGCTCTCAAGACATGGCAGGTTTGTGGGCATGCACACTGCCTGCTAATGTAGATGTACAGCTCAGGACTTCACTTTTTGAAAAAATAACATTCTGACCCTGGTCACATACAGGTGCAACCTTAGTATGATTTTTGGTACAATATTGTAAATCCTAGGGATGTTTAAAATGCATTTATTTGTGTAAACATGTACCTGCTGAAATTTTCAGTGGGTACATGTATACGTGAGGGGGGAAGAAGGGTTTTAAGCCAGCTCCCTGCATGTAATGACTCCCACCTGGCCTCTGCACTGTTGCCTCTCATATAGAGACAGCAGTGAGAGGGAGGAGGGCAGGTGGCTTTGTGTGAATCGGTACTCCCACCCCCACCGCCTCTGTGGGAGGCAGCAGGAGAGGCAAACACTTCCACATGATACAGAGGCAGCGGAGGTTGGAGGAGCCTGCATGTTACCAAGAGGGTTAATCGATGAGCCCAGGCTCACTGGTTACCAGTGTGCTTGGCTAAACGTTCGCATCCCTAGTAAATTCCCTGTACTCTGAAGTTAAGTGCTTTCTCATCTTACTCTCTTATCAATTTAAACTCCTAATTCTCCAGGGCTTTAAAAATCAATTAAAAATAAAAACCATAGGATGAGGCCCAAGGTTTGAAATAGGTGGTAGCTGAGACAATAAAAACATGATGGAAAGAGACTGCTTTTGTTGGTGTGTAGTGAAGCTTGGAAGGGGTACTGGGAAGGAAGAGTTGCATTGAAGCCAGAGGCTGTTCACTGGACATGAGAAGGAAGAGGCAGGAGGGGAGATTGTAGCAGAAGAATAGTAAGGGAAGCTGTTTTAGAGAATTAAGTCAGGGATCAAGGGGGAAATCAAGAGGGCAGGTGGACCCTGGTAAAAGCCAAGCTGACTCCAGGAAAAACTTGCCCCATGGGAATTCAGGGAGCATTGGTAGCCCTTTCAGGGGAAAGGAACTGTGCTTTGTATGTGTGGTGGAAATAAATAGGAAAAAAATGAGAGCACAATACCAACTGAGGAGTTGCTCCCAGCTGGTTCTGAAATAGCAGGTGCCCTTCTAACCCATTAGTTTGTTAGACTATTATAATGTGCCATCTTAGTTCAGGAGTTAACCATCCTTGAAACCTAGTTTTAATCCTGTATATGACCCTGCACAGGCAAACACCTATGCTTCAATGATCAAATATTGTGTGTAGTGAATAAATATTGAAATTTTAAATATTGAAATTTATCATTAAGACAGATTGGGACCTGCTAACATTTCTTTATAAAAGGCACCCACAGCATATCAAATCATTCTTCATCAAAATAGCTACTGAAAATTGTAACTTTACACTGAAATAGTGCTGATCACCTTAGAAATATTTAGTTCTTGAGCAAAATATGGTGAGTTGTCCTTTTACATTTTCAACACACTTGCACTTTCAGAGAAGGAATGAATTACAGCTCAATCAGTTTACATTTTTAAATATTTTACTTCTTATCTCTTAATCTTTTTCCAGAGAAGATTACTCTGCATGACTTAAAGAAGTGTAAGTTAGCAAATGTGTTCTTTGATACCTTTTTCAACATTGAAAAATACCTTGACCATGAGCAGAAGGATCAATTTTCTATGTTGAGGGTAAGTGATAAGTAAACTTTGCCTTGTTAAATGCAAACATGTACACGGTAACGCCATGTATTGTGCATGTTTACTATAATACAACATTAAAATTTATTCTATTCAGGATGGTGAAAATGAAAGCCAAGAGATTTCTGACTGGGAGAAATATGCTGCAGAAGAGTATGATATCTTGGTAGCTGAAGAAGCAGCTAGTGACCAGTGGAATGATGGGTAAGAATGATGTGGGGAATGTTAATGACTTAGCTAAATTAGAGTACCACTCATTAAACATCTGTCGTCCATTTTTACCTTGCTTTCCCAGAGCCCCATTGTAGAAGTTACATAATAGTTACATTGCCAAGGAACGTGGATGAGATGGTATTGAGGGGGCAGGAGGACAATCTCCTGTATCTCAAGCAGTATATGCCAATGACTAGTATAAAATGCTAGAACTTCCTGAAGTTTTACAAAGGATTTTGTAAAAAGTCTTTTCTCCAAATCAAAATCAATTAAAAAAAAATTCAGTTTCGCAGAATTGATTTAAACGTCTCACACTTTCATTTACAGCACAACCTCATTTTCAATAAATACATACATACAAAACTTCAATAAATCAAAAAGGATCCATTTTGAACCCTGTAAGATGGAACAACTTTAAACTATTTCACAATTTTTCTTCCTGTTCTAATAAATGCCCTATCCCATCCAATCAAACCTCAGTTATTCACTAGCCAACTGCCAGAGGAATCACAAAATCCAGTTTGAGTTCGGGGACTCCTAAAAAGATGTGTCTAGGCATTTGTATTGTGGTCTGTGAGCATCTTTTAAATGCTGAAGTCTGTTGCAAATTCCCGAGCTAAAAGACTTCCATCCCTATAATGTTACTGGTATCCTGAATATCTGCTTTAAGGAGTCACTGCAAATTCTTTGTGTAAATACCTGTAAGAGAATGGAAAGAAATATAGATTCCCAACACCATGGGATTAAACTGAAACTGGTTGTTTTTTAGTTTCATACTTGTAAACCTGGCATCCGTGCTGCCACAGCAATCAGATGTGCCTTCAGATTCAGCTATTCGTGGTTTATGTTCTTCAGGTTTTTTTTTTTCTAGTTAAAAACAGATCCAGCAATCAGATGTGCCTTCAGATTCAGCTTTTCGTGGTTTATGTTCAGGTTTTTTTTTCTAGTTAAAAACAGATAAGCAGAACACTGACATTCCTTCTGTAACCATTTTAGGGATTCTGATTTCTCTGACTACTAGCCTTGCCCAAGGCAAGGGTAAGGAAATGTTAAGGTAAGGATGCTTGTTTTTAAAAGGTCCAGAAGTTCCCACTGGTGCAGGGCTGCATGTTTTTAAATATCACATCCTTGCATAAGATCCAGAGTTAAGTTTAATTAATGTTCTTAATTTCAACTTCTCTCCTCCTAAGAATTGACATCCCCAGTTGACAGGGCAATTAGGGCATTTAAGAGTATGGTTTAACTGAGGGTTCTCTACAAAGTTTGCTAAATATTTGTATAGGCATAATTTACCAAGTGTTTCTACATACTCTACCTCCTTAGTATTTTCTTACTAACTAACTTGAACCACTCATTGCCTTAAGATTAATTTTCTGAGTCTTTAATCACTGGGGTGATATTTTAAAATTACAGTAGATCCTACTGTTTAGTAGCCCCTCAGTTGCCAGCAAAAAATTGCTACCAGGGCAGGAAGCAATAGGGCACATCTGCTCTGGCTGTAAACCTGCCTCTGAGGAAGAGGGGGTGCTGACTGGATGCCAGCACTTTCTAAAGATGATAGAGGTGGTAGAGGCACACAGATATGCACAGTACCTCTCCCATTTGCTTTCTGCAAATAGTGCTCGGCATGCCCCTGCACTGCATTCCTTGTGGGTAGCCCCACCTGTGTACAGTCTGCAAGGTGCAGGCAGAGGTACCAGCCTACAACCTCCCTTCCCTAGGGTTGCCAGGTGTCCGGTTTTGAACCTGGACAGTCCGGTATTTGAGCTTTCTGTCCGGGAAACAAATTGAAATGTCCGGTATTTTCTAATTAAGTTTTATTATTATCGTGAGTATCAGTACGTAGTTGCGTACTGCCTAGCTGGTAGATGTGCTCATGCTGCATGAGTGTGTCTACCAGCCAGGCAGTACGCAACAACGCAGTAGAGAGGAGGGGGGCCAGGGCGGGATGGAATCCTTGGGGCCCAGACTCGCCCGTGCACCTCGCTGGGACTGTGCACAGGACGGGCAGTACCCCGGGATCTGTGTGCGCCCAGGCCATCTCCCCTCCCCCCCCAGCCAGCCCCGCTCCCCCCAACTTCCTCCCGGCCAGCCCTGCTTCCCACTAGCCGGTTCCCCTTTCTTTCCCCTCCTTTTCCCCTTCCCCCCCATCTCCCTGGCCAGCCCTGCTCCCTGCCGGCCAGTTCCCCCCCGGCCAGCCCAGCTTCCTGCCAGCCGGTTCTCCCCCCTCCCCAGATCTCCCCTGGCCAGCCCCACTCCCCTCCCGGCCAGTGTCCCCTCCCCCCATCTGAGATCGTGTGTGTCCGGTATTTTTTTTAAGCCACCAGGTACCCTACTGACAGACAAAGCTGGCGTCTCCTGGGGCCGGTGCAGGTCGGCTGCTGGTGTTGGACACTGAGGTTTCTCATTCAATACTGTCTAGACCATCCCTGATAGACATTTATCTAACCTACTCTTAAATATCTCCAGAGACGGAGATTCCACAACCACCCTAGGCAATTTATTCCTGTGTTTAACCACGCTGACAGGAACTTTTCTTAATGTCTAACCTAAACCTCCCTTGCTGCAGTTTAAGCCCATTACTTCTTGTTCTATCTTCAGAGGCCAGGAAGAACAAGTTTTCTCCCTCCTTTCACAAGACAGGTTTGTGCCAGGCACAGGCAGGATTGCAAGACTGCAGCCAGGAAGGCAAATCCAAAGATTTCTCCCCTGGCTGCAGTCTTTGCAGTTGGGACCTTCTTCCAAAAGCGTTCTTTATAAACCGTACGCTATTGCTTAAACCTGAATCCAATTAACACTGAAATACTGGGATTGGATTGGTTCCCAGTACAATGTTGCTATTAAATGGAAGTTAATCTCCAGGTTGCTGTTAAGCAGAATATACTAATACTGGCATCCTAATTTAATTGTTCAAGTGACACTGTGCACTTCTGTTGTCTGATGCCAGGGTAGAAAAATTATTCTTTTATACTTTTTTCCCCATAATAAACTTGTTTTAAAAATAAAGATATTGCATTTCTTTATTAAAAAATAAACCTGTGTGTAATTTAAATAAACCTGTTTAAAATTATATTTAAACCACGCTGACAGGAACTTTTCTTAATGTCCAACCTAAACCTCCCTTGCTGCAGTTTAAGCCCATTACTTCTTGTTCTATCTTCAGAGGCCAGGAAGAACAAGTTTTCTCCCTCCTTTCACAAGACAGGTTTGTGCCAGGCACAGGCAGGATTGCAAGACTGCAGCCAGGAAGGCAAATCCAAAGATTTCTCCCCTGGCTGCAGTCTTTGCAGTTGGGACCTTTTTCCCCAAGCCGGAAAAAAAGCGGAGGCCATGTTTATTTAAATCCCCTGCGGATTTCCCTATTCTGAAGTTGGAAATTAACATGCCTCTTCCGGAGAAGGGGCCAATGTAGACGTAGCCATAATGTTTTAAGGACTAAACCTGTTATAACTATTAACATACATTAAATACAAAAAGTAATATTAATTAATTTAAAGCAGTATACATTTGCTGCCAAGTTATTTTTTAAAAAGTCAAGCTACTGAACTAGTTGGTCAGTGGTTGAGCCCTGGAACCACAGGTAGTTGAAGTGCTATAAACCAGCTTTTGACAGTAGGAGAGTCCTCCGCAAGCACAAAGAAAATATATATAATTGTTAATTTCAATGTATTCAACTAGTTGAGGTCAGTGACTAGCACATTTAAAGTTAAGAAGCCATTTGAGGAGTTGCAAAAATGGGGGGGGGGGATTTTTCTTCCAATCTATGAATAAAAAACTTGGTATGAAAATAGGAGATCTTATCCCTCAAGATTTTAGAATGAAAAGTGACCAGAAACAAGCAGTTCAATTGAATAAGTACAGATAATGCTTCCTTTCTCTTATAACTCAGTTAATTTTACATGCAAAATGTTTTGATAATTTTTTTCATATCCGTCCTGCACATTTAAAGTCGTTCTAGGTTTTTTAAATGCTGTTTTATGCCTTTTTAAAGGAATTTGAATTTCCATCCACATAGAGCTTGACAAAAGTTCTAAGTTACCTCTTTAACCTAGTAAAGAGGTTAATTATGTAATTACTTAATACATGTGTGTAAATGTAGCATATCATCCTGGTTACAATAAGCACCACATTTAGCACACAAGATATATTAAATTGCAAATCAGTGTGTTTTAATGGTTACCAAGCAAAACAAATGTCTTGCCTTAAGAAAATTAAAATATAAATGCAAAACAGGGTTAAAACTCAGATTTAAATCAAGGTTTTTTTGCTTCCTGATTTAAATAATAATTTAAATCACATGGCCTGGATGTGTCTAAGCCACAGAAAACCAGATGCTGGGACTGGGTGGATCACTTGATAATTGCCCTGTTCTGTTCATACCTTCTAAAGCATCTGACATCAGCCACTGTTGGAAGGCAGGATATTGAGCTAGATACACCATTAATCTCATCCAGAATGGCCGTTCTTGTATTGATTTAAATCTGTCCTCCCTGATTAAAACTTCCAGTATTTATATCTAACTTATCTTACTTTAATTGGTCTTCTGTGCCTAAATCCTGCATTATCAATTTAGAGACCAGTGGCTTGGAAGTATGTCTCAAGTAGATCAAAACAAGGATAGCTACAAAATTCCATGTATACAATAATAGGTTGAACTTAAGTGACTTTCTAGAAGACTCGAAGCAAACACATACTAGTGTTTAAAGAGTAGGGCAAGTTATTTTGTAGCAAAAAAAGTTGGGTTACAGTTGACATGCTGTTAAAACAAGAATTTATAAAAACAAAAACTAGTAAAATTTTTTTATAGATTTAATACTCCAAAGAACCAGTTACATTACATTTTCAGGGGAAAATGTTTATTTAAGAACCTGCAAAGGAAGACAACTTCATTTGGCTTTCATTAATGAGACCAAGAGAAAGCAGCGAAAAGTAAACTTGATTTTAGACTCTCAAACTTGTCTTACAACAAATAACCAGATTGGCATTTAGCTTTAAGTTACTAGGTTATATAAAGGAACTGATGAGCCTCCTGGTCTCCTTTCTTGGTTTTGTTTTGTAGACTGTGCTGTTGGTCTTTCTTGATATATGCATCTTAAAATCCAAATTTGTTTAGTTCAGCATAAAGTTTTGTTCCATCTTGTCTGGTCGAACAGCCCACACAATATTCAGGACAGTCACATAGAGAAATGAAGCATTCCAGTACAGATTTTAATTTTTTTATATGAATTACTAATAATTTGAACAGAGTTTGGAAAGTGAAAGGGGAAAAAAATAAAGGACCTAAGCAAAAATATTTTACCTATGAAACTTAAGTAAATCTGTCTGAAGTGTCAAGTGTGATGGGTATGGGGCTGGTCTTCTCAGTACAGGTCAGACCTCACTGGTCTGGCACCCTGAGGACCTAACTGGTCCTGGATGAGGGATTTTGCTGGATGAGAAGAGGTTGTTTCAGGACCCCTGCTGCCTGCCCCACCCCCTGACCTGCTGGCCCCCTGCATTTCCTTGTTGCCCTGGCAGCCCAGTTGAGTCGCATGCTGGGCTTCCTGGCCCTCTTAACCTCCCCCAGCTGAGCTCAGCCACACACTGGGCTTTCCAGCACCCCTCTGGTGGGTTGTGCATGCTGGCCTTCCAAGTTCCCCCAGCCCAGATGAGCTGCATGCTGAGCATTGCATCGGGCACTTGGGATCCCCAACCCCCATGGCACACCAGGACTCTCTGAACCTGGAACAACAGAGATGCAACCTGTATTCTGAGCAATAACTAAAGTACTGCCTTAAAGCTGGCATATGTGCATCTTGAGGAATGTTTACATTCCCTTTTGAGTCCATGGGTGTCTTAACTTCATAGTATAGGACAGTATCTGGTGATATCTCGGGCACTTGGGATCCCCAACCCCCATGGCACACCAGGACTCTCTGAACCTGGAACAACAGAGATGCAACCTGTATTCTGAGCAATAACTAAAGTACTGCCTTAAAGCTGGCATATGTGCATCTTGAGGAATGTTTACATTCCCTTTTGAGTCCATGGGTGTCTTAACTTCATAGTATAGGACAGTATCTGGTGATATCCTCATGCTGCCACCCTTTACGTAGTCTTTCTTTACTGCACAGTGGCATAAATGCAAACTGTACATTTGGATGTTTGGTTTTTTTTTGAAGAATCTATTTTAGTCTCCAAAAGGAATTAATGCTGTAGAGGACTGTAAATTATAGTGTTCCTTAGCAAACCCATAATTATGGCTGAAGTCACTTACATTATAAACCCTTGTTTTTAGGCATTTCTAACATGAGTGAAAAATTTAACATGTCTCATGCTTCTTCTCAGCCTTGTGATGAATTTTTAGGGAAAATTTTGAGAAACGGTTTGACTGCTTTTAGAATTAGCTAAATGTGAGAGAGCTTCAGAGGGGTAGCCGTGTTAGTCTGTAGCTGGAAAAACTTTTAAAAAAAACAAGTAGTCTTCCAGCGCCTTAAAGATTAACAAAAAATGTAGATGGTGGTATGAGCTTTCGTGGGCTCATACTTAAAGTGAATTGTATCCACAAAAGCTTATGATACCATCTACATTTTGTGTTAGTCTTGCAGCACCTTAAAGACTATACAATATTTAAGTTTTTCTAAATGTGAAAAGATGTCACTAAAGACACTTATATTATTTTATGTCCCAGAAATCAAAACACTTCTTGATTTAAAATATCCATCAACTAAATCTTAAACGGGGACAAATATATTCTGACACACAAAAATGTATTGTGATTTCAAAGAATTAGACCTTTGATTACTGTGCATACAAGTGTGGATATTCCACTAATTTAACATACCAAGTTGTGGAGCTCTACTTACATGCTTATAAATACCCAGGACTTGCCACATTGGTTTGGTGAATTCACCCTTGCTGTTTACTTTAAACTGCAGTTTTGCATAACTTTGTTCCATAATGTAGACGTACCTTAAGTCGAATTAAGATACACAACATTCAACTACATTAATTGTGTAGCTGAAGTCGAAGTAGCTTAACTCTGCTTTTGGTGCCATCTACACTGAGGGGAGAAGCTTAACTCTGCTTTTGGTGCCATCTACACTGTGGGGAGACAAAGGAAAAACACTCTCCCTTCAACTTTACTTGCTTCTCATGAAAGCGGGGTTACCGGCATCGACCGGAAAGCCACTCTCACTTTGAATTAGCTGTCTTAACAAGACCGCTAATTTGAACTCTGTAAAAACTCGGCAGCTTCAATCTTCCTCTGTAGTGTAGACGTACCCGTTCCCGTAGAAGGCACCTGAAACTTTAGTTAAGAGACTCAGGACAGCATGACAGATATAGTAGGCGCCTTCTTCAGATACATTTTTCATTTTTCATTAATGCAAACAATTGGGTTTTGTTTTCTAGCATCTACTTTGTTTGATTTACTGCCCGCTTTCTACCCCTAGCTTTCTCCTCATTAGTCTCACTTTTCAAAACATTGTAGTTTCACTATCCTTCATTTCCAAATCTAATTTCTACCTTTTAAAGGAGAAATTGTTTCTTGACAAGAACGTGTACCGACGCATTTGACAGGCACTAGTTCTTGACTACAAATACTCCACTTGTATACTACGAGCTTGAGTCCTTTTAATTGATTCCATTCCTAGTATGTTTGGTGTACTTTTTATGAACAGGAGTACACAGTCCCAGTAACTGTATTGACTAGCCAATTAAACTGATAGGCTGCGTCTAGACTGTCAAGTTTTTCCGCAAAAGCAAACTTGCCAGCTGTCTACATTGGCCGCTTGAATTTGTGCAAGAAGACTGATGATCTAATGTAAGATTGTCAGTGTTCTTCCGCAAATACTATGATGCTCCCGCTCGGGAAAAAGCTCTCTTACGAAAATGCTTTTGCGCAAGAGGGCCAGTGTAGACAGCTAAAAACTGTTTTGCGCAAAAAAGCCCCGATGGCAAAAATGGCGATCAGGGCTTTCTTGCGCAAAACCGCGTCTAGATTGCCACAGACTCTTTTCTGCAAAAAGTGCTTTTGCGCAAAAGCATCCGTGTCAATCTAGACACTCTTTTCCGCAAATGCTTTTAACGAAAAAACTTTTGTTAAAAGCATTTGCGGAAAATCATGCCAGTCTAGACGCAGCCATAGGGTATTGCTGTATTCAAACCTAAGTTTATCCATATTTACATGCTCCTTAAATTTTGTCAGAAATCTCTTAAAGCAAACACACAGGTAGAACACTAATGCACCTACACATTTCCCTGTGACTCTGGACTCTTTTCTTTTTATTCCTTCTTTATTTCCTAGTTATGAGGCAGAGCTGAATCCTGTAGACCATCAGAAGGCCAATGTCCTAAAATTTCAGATGGAGAAAAGACCTTTCTTTGAAATGCCTTCCCATCTGGCAGATGTAGACTTGGATGACTATGATTATGAAGAGGATTTTGAGTGATTTTGATCAACACTTGGAAAAGGAAAAGGACAGTCTGCAGCAGGTCTGCTATACACATATAAAATGAGTGGATTTATCGCAAGAGAAAGTAAGCTTAGTTCTTTGTGCTACGAAATAATCATTAGATTATCATTTAAAGAAAATGAAGTGCATTTGTATGGAATGATTAAACACTTTTGTATTTATTAGTAGTCTATAGCTTGTAAAATAGATTTAAATATTTATTTATAGATGTTGCATAATTCCTTAATGGAAGAGTAACCCTATTTGAATTCTTCTCTAAAGTACTCTATTGATTTTAAGAGATGACTATATAATTCTAGAGTTGATACACAGTGCACTGATCACCTTCATCCTCTATCTGTGAACCGAAGTCCCTGTGCTAGGATGGGAAATCAGGAGAATGCTTGTGCATGACCTCCAGTGTTCGTGCTGTCATGGCAAAAATCTAGTAACATTAGCACTGGCAAAGAGAATGACAGTAGCTGTGAGTAAAGGATTTGACTCAGTACTTTTGGCTAAAGGTTCATTTGACAAGCTGGATACGTTGGTACACAAGCTAGACTACATAATGCCTGAAACAAGCTTCTCCTCTTTCTTTACCACCCTCTCGTTTTATTTGCCTCAGCTTTTAACTTTGCCCTTTAAAATTTCAAGTCTTTTCTTTCATGTCCATTCTCGAATACCGAAGTCTCTTTTAATGTTCATACTTGATGCCAAAATGGGTATTTTACTCCATGTAGAAGGAACCAATTTTTTAAAAACTTGTATAAATGTTACTTGATCTGTGATGTGCACTAATTTGTGGGCATTCAATGTTTTTGTTTGTTCCTCCTTTTCAATGGTTAGCTATTGACACATTCCATAAATATTCAAAGTGTCACAGCAGCTTGAAATTGTTGCCTCACCTGCCTACCTATGACAAGAAATTGCTTAGACAGGTTGACATTTGTTACTCAGTTAAATCAGAAGGTTGTAGTGCCTTGAAATGTACAAATGTAAATGAAAGTTTAGGTATGGAATGTTTTCAGCAATACTTTAGTGCTAAACCAATTTTCATGTAAAATGTACAAAAAGATGTAAGTTATTTTTGTTTGCGGTGTAGATCTGTTTAAAATGTTTAAAAGATCATGTTTGTATTTTCCAATAAAGATTTTCATACATGTAATCTACCTGTACTCACTTATTATAGACAACAAATGTCGTTCTATTTTAATTTCAAGATGCCTTTTTAAAAATTACAAGGTATGCATGTTTGTAAATGCTTCTTTAAATGTTAAGCTTGGATCAGTTTGGCATGTTTATTCAGAGCTAAAAATGTTGAAGAAATCTGTAGGTACTTTCCACTATAGAAGGCAACATGTTTTTAAACTTCAGGAAGATTGCTATACTAAACAAGCAGGAGGATAGTGTGTGATGATCTAAGGTAAATGGTAGCCCAAGTTCTCTCTCAATGTCACATAATGAAAGAATACCCTTTTGTAACATGAGCTCTGGTGTTGATTTCCAGTACCAGAGCGTAATTAGAGAGAATGCAAGCAGCATTCTAATCGCTTTATATACAAGGATTATAAAAAGAACCTTGTCTACTAGTTTTTTTGCAACTTGTCTAGTGGGAGATTACATAAATCTAACTTCTACAGTTGTGTAACACCTTGCAAACACCAACTTAGTCTGACCCTGAAGCAAAATTTCTCAGCAGGCTCCCTACAGAATTAATTTCAAGCTTTGTCATGACTCCCTAAATACCATGGAGAATGATTTATCTTGTGATGAGTAAACTAACTTCAGAGCATGCTCAGATACAACCTTATTCATGTTTCAAAGTTTTATGTTGTTGTGCTCTCAAATAGATTCCAACTTGTAAAAAGCATTTGTATGCGTAGGCATGTGGTTCTAATGATCTAGTTCTCTTCATGAGCTGACATTCCTGCACATAAAATGCAGCTCTAATCTGAAAAGTGGCAGAAAATGTTATACCTCACGGCAGAGTTGCTTTCCTGATTTTTTAATAATGGCCGCTTTACATAGATCTGTCACTTTGGTTGTTTCACTCTCAGTAATAAAGGTCCTTTGAGTTATTGGATGTGTGCATACCTAATGTGGAGAACCTATAGGGATGTGCATTTTTGATTGGAGACTTTTTTCATAAACATTGTTCTGGGTTCCCCACCTCCAGTCTGTACATCCTCAGAATATATAGGTATGGCAGATATGCTGTTTCATTTCCTTTTCAACCTTGTGCACCTTAGCTGTCAGACAAGCAGTGCTCCATCTCCTTTCTTCAGCTGGCTTGTTCTCATCTTCATTAATCTTTCATTTAGTTGGCACCTTTTATAGCATAGACTTTTGCTTTCAGAGGGGTTCCCCTTCCTGCTCAGGGGCTTTGCTTCCCCAGGGTGCTTGCGGACTTTTTTCTAGATAAGTTATGCCCAAAACTATGGGTTTCAAACCCTGCCAGACTTTCCATAGGTCCTTTTTATCCCAGCAACAGGCATTCCATCCATGTCCCATATTCTATTGAAGTATAACGTTTGCTTTGGCTTCAAGAATAGATCCAGAATATTGAGGGAGACAAACTAGTTATTCTTTATGGAGTATTATTTGGGACCTTCAGAGTAGGTCTCATGTGCATGCATCACCAGCACCTCCCAGGACATTAGCCTCAAACTCCCAGGCCACTCTAACAACTTTTAATTGGATTGCAGTGAGCCGAGGCTAAAGGCTGGCTTCAGCGTCTTAAAAAAAAATAAAAAACTTAGATCCCTGACAGTGAAAGAAAGGGAAAACTTCCCCCAGAGGTCTTTAAATAAGGAGAATTCATGTTCTGGTATAAGTACAGCTGAGGGGCCAACCTTCTGGTACAGAGATGTCAGTACAGAGGAAGAGACTTCCAGAATGCATATGAAGTCATCTGGGATAAACAATCTGTTTTTCTCATGGGTCCCACAGATCAGCCAAGCAGAAGGGCATGGAAAATCATTTCTGACCCTCAACCTAGGCAACCTCTGAGCTGTGGACATAAGCATACAGCAAACCAACTGCATAATGCCTGGTATTGCGTCACCTCATTCTGAGGAACTGTACTTTAGCTCATCAGTACTGAACACTTTCCTCTATCATGAGGATCTCTGGTATTGGAAGCACCTGAATCGCCTCTGCTGAGAGGCACAGAGGGATTTTCTGGTGGTACCAGCATACCTACCTGCACTGACACTACTGCCCATCACTGCTGGTACCGCTGCACCCTCTTTTTCCCTTAAACTCAGCATCCAATATCAATATTGATACTGGCAACAACTTGACCACTGCTACTTAACCTCCTAGCTCTGCCATTGGATATGAAATAACACTTCCTCAGATGCGACGAGGAGTCCTGTGGCACCTTATAGACTAACTGAAGTGGGTCTTTGCCCACAAAAGCTTATGCTCCTACACTTCAGTTAGTCTATAAGGTGCCACAGGACTCCTCGTCGCTTTTGCAGATTCAGACTAACACGGCTACCCCTCTGATACTTCCTCAGATGTTTGTCTAACATTTCATCACCTTCCCATTTCAGCCTCCCTCCTTGGCAGTGTCCTGATGACAAGACTAAGAATCCCTGGGTCCTGCCTTTTCTTTATAACCCTCCTCATAGTGAGCTTTTTGATACTTGTGGGTCTCCAGTAGAGAGACCCGAAGGTGAAACAGGTGTGAGTTTCCGTAGAACAGGAACTAAAGACAGTTCCTTTTAATGAAACTTCTTCTTTCCCTTACTGCTGAGACAGTTATGACCTCTCCCCCCTATTATCCAGTTGATTTTAAAGTCCTTCAAGAATTAAGGAAGTGTGGTTGAGACTTTACAGCTCCTCCTATAGCAGTGGTGGGCAACCTGTGGCCCATTAAGGTTCTGTGTGTGGCTCAAGAGACTTGTTTACCCTTGCAGGTGCACACAGAGTTTCCAGATCCTGCTGATTTTCACCCCCCGTTTTCTTCATACCAGTATTACTAAAGTGACACCCATGTAAAGCAAGGGCACATGAAGTGGGTGTGCACTGATTGCACACATCATTGGTGAGAGCCAGGCCCTCCCTCTGCGTCCAAACAAAGTGCTGCTGTGGTTCAATTGGGACATCCATAAATTCTAGGTATGCAAGTGGAGTTAGCAAAACTACCCTATCCCAGCAGAAATGTCTTGGTTATGACAATCTTGGGGCTCACTGAAATGGAGGGTAGCTCATGCATCCCCCCCTCACTAGCCTAGGTGGCCCCTCAGTGTCCTAAAGGAACCCCAACTATGGATACTGTGCATAGCTCACCAAGGCAAGATAGCCTGGCCTACCAATGCTGATGGTTAGTTTCAGGATAACTATCTGTATCCCCACACCCTGCTCCAGCCCAGGCAGCAATCAGGCCTATAGCTATCACCTTGTCCCATTCCTCCTTGCCAGATGAGTTTTGAGGCTGTACAGCACTATCCGCAGCAAGGGAGTCTGCCTAATGGCCCAGCCTCTGCTCTTGGCTCTCTCTGATGGTTAGGACCAATATTGCCAGTGGTTATGAAATACCACACAGCTCTCTCTAAGCAAGAACACTTATTGGAAGGTAAAAACGCAGCAAAATATTTTAAATTCTTACACATTTTAGAAGCTTACCAGCTGTCATCCATCTTTTGGGGCACTAGAAGATCAAAGTCCTTCTAACCTTTCCTCAGGGAGCTAGTCTCCCCTGCCAAATACAAGGTCATGTCAGTTTGCTAGACTGGAAATAAGGCCCTGAATCAGTTTACTAGAGGCCAAGGACAGGGCTTTTAATATGAAAAAGGACAGTAAAGTCAGTTTTGAAACATTATATGGTCTATTCCATCATGTAGTGTTGAAAAGCAGGAAACTTACCACAAGAAAAATGTACTTCCGGAAGAGGAATCATTTCCAGAAGTCACCATCTCTGTCTGAGTCTCACCTTTCTCATGTTCTTTAATGGCCATTGAACTTAAAAAACTGAATTTGTCATTAAGCTTAAAGTTCACCTTGCTGCCATTACAGCAATACACCTACCAATTGAAGAGTTTTCAGTATTTCTGCATCCCACCACCAGGTCCCACTGCTGTTCTGTCCAACATGCTTACAGTTCTCTAAGCCCTCCAGGGATCCTTAGCCTCTGTTTGCCAGAAGTTGGGAATGGGTGATTGATGGGATGGATTGCTTGATGGTTACATTCCGTCTGGGGCATCTGGCGTTGGCCACTGTTGGAAGACAGGGTATTTGGGTAGATGGACCTTTAATCCGACACAGCATGGCTATTCTTATGTCACAGTCCTTACTCCCTGGACTTCAAACAGCAACGTGTCCTGCTCTGCCCCACAGCCTCTCTTATTGACTGTTTCCCACAGTGTCTGGCAATGTGAGGCAGACACCCCATGAGATCTACCGAAAGTCTCATCTTTCCACTTCAAGGAATACGTTGGAGTACCAGGTTTTTACCCTAAACACTAAGTATCTTGGCAAGACTAAACCCTTTAGAACCTCCCCTAGAATCTTTGTCTCCTTCGCGAGAAGAATGTAGGGAGCTTTTATTTCCTACCACGTGCTCAGGGCTGTAGCACTAGTAACCGCGGCCACCTGTTGTCCAGCAACCCAAGATGGAGTATGAGTGGAAACCCGACGAGCAGGGGTCCCAGCAGATCCTGCAGCGACTCAGTCGCAGTCTCTGGCCACCACCACGCAGAGGGCCATACAACAAAAACTGGAACAACTCAATCCGTATTCACATTTTAACAACTACCTGATATTTGTTCTTACGAAACTGAAGTCTGAAGATGAACCCGTGCGGTCCCTGAGTGGTCTCATCTTGAAGAATAATGTGAAAGCGCAGTTTCACAACTTTCCAAATGGAGTAACTGACTTCATCAAGAGTGAATATCTAAACAACATTGATGACTCCTCCCCTTTAATTAGAGTGAAAGAATACAATCTGGACACCGTATGCAAGCAGGAGTTTATTACACAGCGCTGGGTGGAGTGTCACTTGCTAAGCTCAGTGAACACTGCCAAACAATAGGTTACAACTAGTTATATAGGATGCTCAATGGGCAGATCAAAGTTTTTTTTTTGGGGGGGGGGGGATCCCAGACCCCCTGGATAGATGCTAATAGTAAGGCAAGATAAGAGCAATAATGTAAAGTTACATAGTGTTTCCAGTAAAACAAGTATTTAAACAAAGCAGACATCAATTATCAGTTAAGTGGTGATATGTCTGTCAGCTTCAAGAAGGAATCACTGCAGGATGTGGTCCATCTGGGGATTAAAGCAGAGACATTAGCACCATTGATGTGTCTTGTCCTGCCTCCCATCCTGGGTGATGGCTTTCCTCGATGGGCTAGACTGGTGGGGAGGGGGAATAACCATGTACCGTGTTTATGTGCCATTCCCAGAGTCTGAATTTAAATTGGGTTCTTAACAGAATATCATAGCCTTCCTCAGAAATTTTCATCCTACAAGGGCAACTGTAGGTATTCTGATTACAACCATTGCCTCTGAGAGAATTGATCTGAACTCTTACCAAAACTTTGCAGCCTCTGAAGACTACAATATCTGTGCATTTGGAGCTCTTCAGAAAATATGTGAAGATTCTGCTGAAATCTTAGATAATGATGTATTAGACCAACCACTCTATTATGATCCCTAAGTTTTTACAGTTCTTCAAACTCAGCAGTCCAAAAATAAGGTCCCATGCTATTGCATGCGTCAATCAGTTTATCATCAGTAGGACCCAAGCGCTCATGTTACACATTGATTCTTTTATTGAGAATCTCTTTGCGTTGGCAAAAATGTATGTTGGGCTTTGGTGACGTTGCTGGAAGTTCAAATGGATAGTCTGCTTCCTCATATGGTTAGTATAATAGAGTACATGCTTCAGAGGTCCCAGGACCAAGATGAAAATGTGGCTTTGGAGGTGTGTGAGTTTTGGCTGACTTTGGCTGAGCAGCCAATTTGTAAAGATGTGTTATGTCGACATTTCACTAAGTTGATACCTGTGTTAGTAAATGGTATGAAGTATTCACAAATAGATATTATTCTGCTGAAGGGGAATGATGAAGATGAAGCTATTCCAGATAGTGAACAGGATATAAAGCCTCATTTTCATCGTTTACAGACAGTGGCACAGCATGAAGAAGATGGTATTGAGCTAGATGATGACTGGAATTTAAATCCTTCATGGATTTAAAAATCAAGTTGGGGATGAAAATTGGAGGCATTTATTTGACAAGTTTCCTCTTCCCTTAAACTCCATAATAAGCTGCAAGATGCTCTTTTAATAGATTTTCTATCAGGACGCATCCTAACATGTTACAAATCAAATGATTGCTCATTCCAACAAAGTATCATTCTCCTCTCTAGCCCTACTTAAGAATATAACAATTGCGGACATTTGCAAGGCTGTCACCTCCTCATCTGTGCATGCCTTTTCCTAGCATGATGCTATCCTTTATGATTCAGGAGCAGATACAGCCTTTTGTGCAGCTGTTCTCCAAATTCCACTGAATGTCTCAGCACCCACTCTCCATGACGGGGGCACTGCTCAGGACTCATGTAGCACAGAGTACTCACACGGACAATAATTTAAAGGAGCAGTTGCTTACCTGTACAGAAATAAAAGTTCTTCAAGCTGTTTTGTCCCAACAGGCGTGCCACTACCCACCATTCATTCCCTTTTGCTTCTGAGACCTCCTGTCTAGACTGCATGGTTGAGAAGGAAATG